AGTTTATAAAATCATGAGGGGCATGGATAGGGTGAATGGTCAAAGTCTTTACCCCAGAATGGGGGTGTCCAAAACTAGAAGGCATAGGTTTAAGGTGAGAAGGGAAAGATTTAGAAGGGACCTAAGAGGCACCTTTTTCACACAGACGGTGGTGTGTGTATGGAATGAGCTGTCAGAGGAAGTGGTGGAGGCTGGGACAATTACAACATTTGAAAGGCATCTAGATGGGTAAATGAATAGGAAGGTTTTAGAAGGATATGGGCCAAATGCTGGCAAATGGGGCTAGATTTTTTAGGATATCTGGTTGGCATGGACAATTTGGACCAAAGGATCTGTTTCCATGCTGTACATCTCTATGACTGTGTGACTGTAATTGATAGTGGTCACATGATCGCCATTAGACTGGTATGTTTATTCCAGATTTATAATGATTTCAAATTTTACCATCTGTTATGGTTTGCTGACTGTAGGAGTAACAGTCAACAGAGAGTGGCTACAGTCCTCTGTCTCACTAATCGTGAGCAAGAAACTGGCATTCTGTTATGGTTAGAATGAGGTCAGCCATGTGGATCTCATAGAATATGAGTTCCCTGATTAGGGCTGTTAATCTGGTCCAATCAGGGAGCCCTGGCTGACAGATATAAACAGGAGTGCCAGACGTTCTGTTCACTCTTGGAGCCAGTTCTGAGCTAGCTGGGTCAGTGTCATGAACAATGCATGTGTAAACAAAGGGTAACTTGGTGATGGGAGACTGGCCTCTGCGGAGATATTTCATCCTTGAGTGTTGTAACAGACCATCTGGTTCACTTATGTCATTTAGGGAAGCAAATCTGCCGTCCTTACCTGGTCTGGCCTATGTCTAACTCCAGACCCACAGCTACTTAACTGCCCTCAGAAATGGCCCTAGCAAGCCTCCTGCCTCAAGGGCAATTAGGGATGGGCAAGAAATGCTTGTCTTACCAGCAACACCCACATCCCATGAAATAAGGGCTTTTAAAATCTACATGCTTAGAGATCTCTGCTGCAAAGGAGGATGTAGGGCCTGGCTGCTCTACAGCCTCCAAAAGCGCATAGCCTCCGAGACCTGCCTTTCCATAGTGGCCGTGAAACTTCCCGAAGCATTAAATTCCGTTACCGGTGCTCGCTGCGTGCAAATTGGCCGCTGTGTCTCCCATGCGATCACACCCCGAAAGCGCTTTGGGAAGTTTCAAGGACGCAGAGGGTGTTATGCGAACGCAGATCTTGTCTTTTGTGTGGCGGCTCCTGGAGCGTGAGTAATAATTGCTGGCTTGAAACCCACGCCCCCCCCCCCAACCCCACGGCCCCCCCCGCCACCTCAGCCAGGCCCCCATTTACCCCCTCGCCTGAGACACAGTGACCTTTCTGTATGCAGGCACTGGCAGGAAGACAGATTGGGCAAGGTGGCAGCTGACACCCACAGTTAAAATCCCCTACATTTCTGACTAATTGTGTGAGCATGGCATGCAGCGCACACTAATGACCGTTCATTATCCTCCCTGTCATCCATGTCTCATGTATTCGATTCTTGGCATAACTCAGCCTGTCAGCTGTGTAGCCTCATACCATCCAGTATGATTACTCCAGGATGACACCTTCTTGATGGGAAGTATATAAAAGACTGAGTTATTACATACCATTCGCAGTAGCAATTGCCGCTCAGATTTCCTAAAAAAAAAATCGTCTCTGAATAGTGGAGGAGCAGATGTTCATTAAGTGCAGCGGAATTCTTATCAGAGATTAATGTGACGATCTAATTTTGGGTACACGTTTTTGATTAGAAGATTCATCCTAATGCATAGTGACAGATGCAATCTGCCTCCACCAGATGTACAATTACAGGCTGCACAAGGTATACTGCTCATGCGCAAATTTTCACAAGATCTTCAATTAAATCGATTGATCTGTCTGGATACCAGGTTGGGGTGGGGGGGTGTGTGGAGTGGAGTGGGCGGCACTGGTGCCTCACAGCGCCAGGAACCTGGGTTTGATTCTACCCTCGGGCGACTGTCTGTGTGGAGTTTGCACATTTGTCTGCGTGGGTTTCCTCCGGGTGCTCCGGTTTCCTCCCACAGTCCAAAGATGCGCAGGTTGGGTGGACTGGCCGTGGGAAATTGTCCCGTAGTGTCGAGGGATGTGTAGGTTTGGTGAATTAGCCATGGGAAATGCAGGCTTGCAGGGATAGGGTAGGGGGATGGGTCTAAGTGAGATGCCCTTCCGAGCATAAGTGTGGACTCGATGGGCCAAAGGGCCTGCTCCTACAGGGATTCTATGAAGTGGGATTACTTTATATGAGCCACTAATTACATACACGAGGATCTCAGACTTGTGCCTTTATGTTACATTTTGGAAAGGCAAATCAAGGTAGGACTTTATACACTTAATGGTAGGGTCCTGGACAGTGTTGCTGAATAAAGAGTCTTTGGAGTGCAGGTTCATAGTTCCTTGAAAGCGCAGTCACAGATAGATCAGGTAATAAAGCAGGCATTTGCCTTTATTGGTCAGTAACATGGAACCAGACATGTATAGGAGTTGGGAGGTCATGTTGCGGCTGTACAGGACATTGGTGAGGCCACTATTGGTATACTGCGTGCAATTCTGGTCTCCTGCTACAGGAAGGATGTTGTGAAACTTGAGAGGGTTCAAAAAAGATCTGCAAGGATGTTGCCAGGTTTGGAGGGTTTGAGCTATAGGGAGAGGCTGAATAGGCTGGGGCTATTATCCCTGGAGTTTCGGAGGCTGAGGGGTGATCTTGTAGAGGTTTATAAAATCATGAGGGGCATAGATAGGGTAAATAGCTAAAGTTTTTTTCCCCAGGGTAAGGGAGTCCAAAACCAGAGGGCATAGGTTAAAGGTGAGCAGGGAAAGATATAAAAGGGACCTAAGGGGCAACTTTTTCACACAGAAGGTGGTGCGTGTCTGGAATGAGCTGCCAGATGAAGTGGTAGAGGCCGGTACAATTGCAACATTTAAAAGGCATCTGGATGGGTATATGAATAGGAAGGGTTTAGAGAGATATGAGCCAAATGGGGCTAGATTAATTTAGGATATCTGGTCGGCATGGACGAGTTGGACCAAAAGGTCTGATTTCATGTTGTACAGCTCTATGACTCTATTACTATGTAATATTTCCAAGCAAATCACTTCCTTGATTGTGAAACTGAGATTAGAAAAGGCCCTGATCCCTTGCTTACTCTCATTGGATCTTAGCATCTCCCTGACTTTGGCTTCATCACAGCCCTTAACCAGCTCAATCACAAAATGGAACAGGTAAACTCACTGGGGTCCAGCAAAGATTCTGAGTTCCCTACAGCATCCAGGCTTCGAAGCTAAAGACTTGAGTTCTGAAGACTACATGCCAAGCTTCAGCCAAGCTATTCCAGCGCATCTACAGTGTTGGCAAAACAGGCAACGTGGAAAATTGACCAGGTATCTTGTCCACAAAAGCAGGGCAAATCCACTCCAGCTAATCATTGCCCCCATTCATGTATTATCCATCACGATTACCTTCTGAAGGGCAACTAGGAATCAGAAACAAAAAGAAAAATTGCTGGAAAAGCTCGGCAGGTCTGGCAGCATCTGTGGAGAGAAATCAGAGTTAACGTTTTGGGTCAAGTGACCCTTCCTCAGAACTGTTCTGTGCTTGCTCTAAGTGAGGGTCAGTGAACCCGAAACGTTAACTCTGATTTCTCTCCACAGATGCTGCCAGAGCTGCTGAGCTTTTCCAGCAACTTCTGTTTTTGTTTCTGATTTTCAGCAGCCGCAGATCCTTTTGGCTTTTTTTTGTTGGCAACAAATGCTGGTCCAGTCAGTGATGCCCACATTCCATGAGTGATTAAAAGGAACGTTTTAAGGTGTCATTGGCAGTTGTATTAATTTAGCCATCATTAATCTGCTGTCTGGTATTCAGTTTTGGTGTCGCCAGGGCTACTCAGCTATAGACCTCATTTGCAGCCTTACTCCATAACTGGACAAGAGAGATGAACTCAAGAGCTAAGGTGAGGGGGAGGCACATGGCTCGGGGGCTAGTACTGCTGGTCACAGTGCCAGGGACCTGGGTTCAATCCCAAGGTTGGGTGACTGTGTGGAGTTTGCAAATTCTCCCCACGCCTGCCTGGGTTTCTGCCGGGTGCTCCCACAGTTCAAAGATGTGCAGGTTAGGTGCATTGGCCATGGGAAATTGTCTGTAGTGTCCAGGGATGCTCGGTGGATTAGCCATGGTTGTTACCAGGTAGGGTGGAGTGGGGCTGGGTGGTGCCCTTCAAAGGGTTGGTGCAGACTTAATGGACCGAATGGTCTGTATCTGCACTGTACTGATTCTATGAGAAGGTCTGCCCATACATCAGGGCACCATTTGACAGAGTATGAATCAGGTAAAATCGAAGTCAATAGGTATCGGGGGCAAACTCTCTGCTGGTTGAAGTCATGGGCACGTATGAAGATGGTTGTGTTTGTTGGAGGTCAGTCAGCTCAGGATAGTGTCCTCGGCCCAACCATCTTTAGCTGCTTTGTCAACGACCTTCCATCCATCGTAAGATCAGAAGTGGGGATGTTTGCCGATGATTGCACAATGTTCGGCACCATTTGCAACCCCTCAGATACTGAAACACTTCTGTACCTGATATAAATCGCCAGACTGCTGGAATTATTTCCAGTCTGTAACACATTTCCATTGTTATTCTCTGCTACAAACCATCTGAACCCCTCAATTAGATTCCAGTATGCAATTCACTCAAGAAATGTAACATTTGTAATGTTACTTGGCAGCGGCAGCTTCTCAAGAGCTGGATAAAATGAAACTTAGTAAAATACTGATGTATTATGAAGCCACCTGGACTTTGAACACCTTCGGGATTAATGTGACCTCCGTTCAGAGTGGTGGTGTCACGATGTATCGATCAAGCGTAGCAGCTTGCAGCCACACTGTTGTCTCAATGATATCATTGGCACGCTGACTCTCTCTCACCTTGTCTGTTTCACAGGGCTCCGGGAAATATTCTGTCTATGTGGCCAACTATGCCAGCGGCCGAATTGGCCCCCATGCTCTGATAGAAATGGATGAATCTGCCAGCAACCTGTCATTGGGAATCATTGCACTTTCCAATGTGGCAGCGGAAGCAGGAGTTGACAGGTTCACGGGTAAGGAGCTCTCTGTGATGTTTTACTGTCAGCTCACCATCACAGCTGAACCTTACTGACCTGTTAAAGCTTGGGGAAACGATGAGTTCAATCTGTGTTGGAGCCTCTATTGTTTAAAACTTCTTTCGAAATTAGCTTTTAAACCTCTTCTCATGATTTGGCCCATCCTATTTTCTCTGATACCTTTGGCCAGAAACTCAAGTGGGCCAGCCAAATAAGTACAGTGGCTTTAAGGTCAGAGGTAGCGCGTAACTCGCCTCCTGACTCCCCAAAGCCTGTCCACTATCTACAAGGCACAAGTAAGGAGTGTGATGGAATACTCCCCACTTGCCTGGATGGGTGCAGCTCCAACAACACTCAAGAAGCTTGACACCATCCAGGATAAAGCAGCCCGCCTGATTGGTACCACATTCACAAACGTCCACTCCCTCCACCACTGACGCTCAGTAGCAGCAGTGTGTACCATCTACAAGATGCACTGCAGAAATTCACCAAAGATCCTCAGACAGCACCTTCAAAACCCATGAGCACTTCCATCTGGGAGGATAAGATGCATGGGAGCACCAACCCCAGCAAGAGATGGTAGGAACTGCCGATGCTGGAGTCTGAGATAACAAGGTGTGGAGCTGGAGGAACACAGCAGGCCAGGCAGCATCAGAGGAGCAGGAACACTGACGTTTTGGGTCCGGACCCCCTTCTTCAGAAAAGAGCTTTCCTGGTCCTCTGATGCTGCCTGGCCTGCTGTGTTCCTCCAGCTCCACACCTTGTTACCCCCAGCAAGTTCCCCTCCGAGCTACTCACCACCCTGACTTGGAAATATATCGCCTTTCCTTCGTTGTCACTGGGACAAAATCTTGGAATTCCCTTCCTAACAGCATTGTGAGTATTCCTAAACTACAAAGACCATAGCAGTTCAGGAAGGCAGCTCACCTTCTCTAGGGCAATTAAGAATGGACAATAAATGCTGCTCGAGCCAGTGACACCAGCATCCCTCAAATGATTAAAAAAAATGACCACTCGTGCCTTCATCAGGTTCGCAGAATGACAGGATTTGTACGTCTTTGAAGCAGGCCGTTCAACCCATTCTGTCTTTGTTGGTTTGCATATGAACAGCTCATTTAGCATTTATTTTGGCAGCAGGTGATGGTTATCTCTCTGTTTCCTTCTCATCAGCTGACGGACTGTTGATAGAAACATAACTGAACGTGCTTCGACCGAGACCCCAAACACTGCAGTTGCGATGTTTCTTTTTTACACAAATGAACAGTCTCCTAAAAGTCCAGGGCCCCGCTAGACCATTCCATATTACTCCAGGATGCCTGCATGGTTGGGTGGAATACAACAGTGGACTCATCAACTGAGTCAGGGAAAGTATCTGTCAACTCAGACCGGGAAGAAGCAACATTAGCTCAGCTCTTATCCCCTTTTGCTACCTTTTTCTGGAAGTAACAAAAAATCTTACAAACCTCTAGACCGCCTCCAAAGTCAGCACATCCTTAATTAGATACAGGGCCAAAACTGCTCACATGATTTCAAATGCAGAACCTTGTTCAGCCTCAGTAGTACATCCTTGCTCTTACATTCTAGCCCTCCTGAAATGAATGCTAACATTTCATTTGCCTTCCTAACTGACAACTGAACCTGCATGTTAACCTTCAGAGAATCCTGAACTAGGACTCCCAAGAACCTTCGCGCTTCAAATTTCCGAAGCTTTTCCCTGTTTAGAAAATAATCTGTGCCTCTATTCTTGCTACCAAAGTGCATAACCTCACACTCTCCCACATTATATTCCATCTGTCATTTCTTTGCTCACTCTCCTAGCCTTTCCAAGTCCATCTGCAGCCTCCCTGCTTCTTCAACACTACCTGTCCCCCATTTATCTTTCTGTCATCTGCAAACTTAGCAACAATATCCTAACTTTCTTCATCCAGATCGTTAATGTAAAACGTGAATAGTTGTGGTCCCAACACTTACCTCTGTGGAATTCCACCAGTTACCAGCTGCAGTCCTGAAAAAGACCCCTTTGACCCCACCCTCTGCCTTCTGCCAGTCAGTCAGTCCCCTATCCATGCCAGTCCCTTGCCCCTAACACCATGGGCTCCTATTGAGGAGCCTCCTGCATGGCCCCTTGTCAAAGACCTTCTGAAAATTCAAATAGATCACGTCCACTGGCTCTGCTTTGTCAACTTGCTCGTTACCTCCTCAAAGAATTCTAACAGATTTGCCAGGCACGACCTCCCCTTGACGAAACCATACTGACTCAGCCCTATTTTAACATGCAGTCCGCAGTCTCATCATTAATAATGGAATCTAAAATGTCACCAATGACCAAGGTCAGGCTAACTAGCCTCCAATTTCCTGCCTTCTGCCTCCCTCCCTTTTTAAACAGGGGTGTTACATTTGCCATTTTCCAGTCCTTTGGGACACTCCCTGACTCGGGGAGGCAATGGTAAAATTGCTGGACTGTTAATCCAGAGACCCAGGTAACATTCTGGGGATGTGGGTTGGAATCCCACCACGGCAGACGGTGGAGTTTGAATTCAATAAATGTCTGGAATTAAGAGTCTAATGATGACCACAAATCCATTGTTGATTGTCAGGAAAAACCCATCTGGTTCACTAATGCCCTTTAGGGAAGCAAACTGCCATCCTTACCTGGTCTGGCCTACATGTGACTCCAGACCCACAGCAATGTGGTTGACTCTCAACTGCCCTCTGGGTAATTAGGGACGGGCAATAAATGCTGCCTCACCAGCAAAGCCCTCATCCCGTGAATGAATAAAGAAAAAAGGAGTGATTCCTGAAAGATCACCACCAGTTCCCCTATAATCTTCTCCACTGTTTCTTTGTTCCCCATTTCTACATCTCCAGCCTCATTTTCCAGCAGTCTGATGTTCACTTTTACCTTTCTCCTACCTTTTAGAAATCCAAAGAACACACTTGGAATCTTCTTTATTACTAGTTAGCTTACCCTCACATTTCATCTTTTCCCCACTTAATGCTTTTTTCATTATCCCCTGCTGGTTTTTAAAGGCTTGCCAATCCTTTGGCTTCCCACTTCTTTATGCTGTCCCTGACTTCCTTTGTCAGCCATAGTTACCTCATCCTCCCCTTACTATGTTTCTTCTTCCATTGGATGAATTTCTGCTGTGCCTCCTGAATTACCTCCAGAATCCCCTGCCATTGCTGCTCCACCATCTTCCCTGCCAGGCTCCCCTTCCAATCAACTCTGGCCAGCTCCTGCCTCATGTCTTTGTAGTTACCATCACTCAAATATATTGCTGTTAACATCTGATTCCAGCTTCTCCCTCTCAAACTGCAGGGTGAATTCTGTCATGTTATGGTCACTGCCCCCTAGCAGTTCCTTCACCTTATTCTCCCTGCTCAGGTCTGCCTCATTACACATCATCAAACCCAGAATGGGCTGTACCACCAGCTGCTCCACAAAACCATCTCATAGACGTTCCCCATTCCAGTCATGTTATGGGACCTGCTACATTCACTGAGAGAGCAAGTCAGGCATTTATTATTGCTCCCATACAAACTCTCAAGTCTTTCAATAAATGTCATTCAGGGACATTTTCCTTCAACAGTTTAATTGTTTATAACTGACCATTGACTCAGTCAGTGCCCATTAACCCAATGCTGACAAACCAATGACCACTAACTGGTGTTATTAATCTAGTGTCCTCGAACCGATGCATAACTGATGACAACTAACTAACGAGGAGAGGCGTGGGCTCAGGGTATTATCGCCAGACTAATATTCTGGAGACCCAGGTAATGTTCTGGGGACCTGGATCGAATCCTACCATGGCAGATAAAAACCTGGAATTAAAAGTCTGTTGATTCCATTGTCAATTGTTGGGGAAAACCCATTGGGTTCACCGATGCCCTTTAGGGAAACAAACTGCCATCTGTACCTGGTCTGGCCTACATGTGACTCCAAACCCAGAGTAATGTGGTTGAATCTCAACTAGCAATTAGGGATGGGGCAATTTATGCTGGCTTGGCCAGTGATGCCCATATTTTGTGAATGAGTTTTTAAAAATGCCCACTAACCAATAAATATTAACCGAATACTCATGAACCAATACCCATCAATCTGTGTTCATTAACTAGTGTTCATTAACCTAGTGCTAACCAATGCTCATTAACTTAGTGCCTACTGACCAATACTCACTAACCAGTGTTCATCAACATAATGCCCACTAATTGATGCTTACTCACCAGTGCCCATAATCATGCTGCTGAAGTCTGATTGGGAGAAATTCCTCCAAATTGGAACAATTGCAGTTCCAGTTATGTTGAGCAAATTTCCCAGGGCCGATATCTTGACAGGAGATCTGGCAGGCCCTCATGGTGCATCAGGCTGGAGAAAAGATTAAATTAAAAAGTGATTAAAGCAGGAAATGATTAATAAACCAAACTCACAACACTGGTCCCTGCAGCTATCTACTTGCATAATCGCTGCTCGATTTCAAGCCAAAGTATGGGTTCAGAGCCGAGCATCTGAGCCATGAGCAGGAGATTTGTTCTGATTATAATCTGTCCCCATGGACAATGGGCGTGAGCCAGTTTTTATGTGGCCTTCTCTGGAGTATGGTGATACTGTTGTGTTGGTTAATGACCTGTGTTAGGGAGATGAGACAAAAAAGGTGAATGCTCTCTGTTATAAGTACTGTGGTGCCAGCTCGTAATCAAATAGTTTGCGCCAACATTGTCTTTCCTTGACTGGGGCCAAGAGCCTAGTTGGTTTATGATGGTAGAGGAAAAGCATATAGAGCCTTCAGGAGGAGATAGTCTTGGTTTAAACAAAATGTAGTTTACTGAATGATAGCAATCAGGTACAAGTGCTGGAAAATGGGATCAGAATAGTTAGGTGGTTGTTTTTGACCACTGTGGACGTGATGTGCTAAAGGGCCTTTATTTTCCTGCTGTCGATCTCTATATTTGACCCTATGGCTCAAAATAGTAGGTACTATTACAAAGAGCTTTTG